ACACGGTGATAGTTATGTTAAAAAAGCGTTGGTTGAAGCAGATAGTAATATGTACCAATATAATCCAAACATCTGGGTGGATGGCGACCAAATAAATCCCTTTGAGATAAATGAAGCCCGGAAGTCTCAAGAGTACTTGCTAAGAGAAATTAAAGCAGAGAATAATGAGGAAACACTTCCAGCTGAACATTTGACCGGAAAGGGGCTTCCGAAGATTTCCAGCTCAGTCACATTTGATTATATAGAGACCTATCATCCTGGTCCACTTGAAAAAACGGTGTATGAATGTTTAGGACAAGGAGGCAAACATGCTCAAACAAAAGAGTGGTCGTTGAAGGGTAAAGTCGAAAGCGACCATTTTCCTCCCTTTGATGCCTATGTTAAAGCTTCGAAGCATCGAAAGTGCAAAGCGAAAGTCAAAGCTAGAATAAATTTAATTGGACGTCGCGATAATTTGCCTGCAATAACGATACCATATGATTTTCACAGGGTTTTTGATACAACAGGTGGTGCTATTCCTAATATTGAATTCAGAAAGGAGCAGGCAAAATCTATTCGTAAAGGAAAATCTGTTAACGCTATAAAGAAGAATTTGAATAGCTATTGTAATCGCGGATTATTCAGACGATCAACGTACCCAAACTTAAGTGACGAAGATTTTCGGTCATTGCTAAAAAAATATTATGCGGGTTTCAATAATGCCTTACAAGAACATGTCAACTTAGAGTTTATTAATCCAGATGAAAAGAAAAAATTGCTTGCAACACTCAGAACGGTGATTAATGCAAATATACTGAATTTTCAGTAATTTTCAGTAGCTGTTTTACAAGTCTTATTATAATATAGCATTTGTAAATTCCGAACGCTGATTGGCTAAGAGCCGTGTTGATATAACTCAATGTCAACACGGGAAATTTTCCGCCGCTCGTAAACACGGAAATTTTTCTCGTCCTTCGGGCTTTTGACATTGCTATATTATAAAAAAAATATAAAACATTTTTCCGTATTGATATATAGTTATATCAACTTAATCAACACGGAAAATGTTTTATATTTGTTAATTAATTCACTCTTAGAATAGTAAATGTAAGTAAGTTTTAGATCTTTATTGTCTCGATCCAGTTTTTGAAGGGTAACTATTTACAAAAAGATTATTAATAATAAAATAAAGATAATGAAAAGCTATCAATTATTATATAACTAGCTAATTAAAATAACAACATTGTACTCCTGTAGCAAAAGGAAACATAGCTTGCAAATTTCAGCAATAATCGCGTCCATGAATGTGTCCATATTTGCACATAATGTTTCTGACCTTTTACCTAATATAACTGAGAGAAACTCCATGTCTGTTAAACTTGCTAAATGCAGAAATGCACTACCATTTCAATATACCTTTATACGCCTCTTGACGTCATAAAGGTTAACGCGCGCGGTGAATTCTGGTCTGATCAGTAGCCAAATTCCATAAATTCCAACGTTTTCGAAAATAACAAGGCTATAAAGTAGAGCAGGTTGAGGAAAAATAACTTGGTTTGAAAGCTTAGAGTGGAGGAAGGAGATTTGATGTCTCAAGTATACTAAACAAAATAAATGGTAGCCTTGTGTGGCGCCCGGGTTACTTCGGAAAGCCCTGCTGCAATTGTGCTTCTTCTTATTCTAACTAGTTGGCAGAGCATTGGGCTAGTATTCCAAAGGTCGTAGGTTCGATTCCCACCGTGGCCGGGCATGTTTTTCAAGCTTGCCCGGTGTGGATATACACTCAGAGTAACATCACAAACATCATATAATTTCACACCTGAGTACACAACACCAGCACAGAAAAAAATCGTATTACTAGATTACATTGGTATCGAAGGAACTAGATTCTGTTCCGAAATATCACTTACTCGAACCGTCCTGACCGCGTAGCTCAGTTGGCAGAGCATTGGGCTAGTATTCCAAAGGTCGTAGGTTCGATTCCCACCGTGGCCGGGCATATTTTTCAAGCTTGCCCGGTGTGGATATACACTCAGAGTAACATCACAAACATCATAGTATTTACAGGTTACTGAATGAATACTTTCTAGAAAGTTGTGCTTTATAATTACTTGATTTGTTGAAATTCTTTTCTAGGTGACATTTGAAAATAATGGCATACCACAGTAGATAAGAATTTACCTAATTGCTACTGTTTTCCAAGGATATAATGTTCAACACATGCACATGTTGTAAAAAAAGTCACTTTAGTCTTGGTTGTAACGTTTTGCAAATAAGATCCAAACAAATTGTTAAAAATAGTCAGTTGTACAGTAATCAGTATGGAAAGTTTTACTACTTGTTGATTGTCCATTTTGTAGTTAAAAGGATATGACAATAAAAATTAACTTTGTCTTATTTGAAAGAACTTTTAAAAGTTATATATGAAGACCCTTTACAACTTTTTCGTACCTTGCTTGGTTTTCGAAATATTTTGAGCAAAAACAGTGTGCAGTCCGCCATCTTGGTATTATAATTGATCTAATTAGCTTTTCTCACGCCGCCATTTTTGGGTGGCATTTCAGCCGAAGTTTGCGAGATAAGTCCACATAACAGTGACTTTTTATAATTTTTTGGACAGATGATGGTAAATTTGCTTTGTAAATGGTTAGTAGTCAGGGATACCGGAAGTTGCTGGGAGCAACGGGTGCAATTGGTTAACAAGAGGGCATATTCCTTAACAAAAGGGCACTAATGAAAATGAAAGGGCATCTAAAAATTATTTTTGGCGACCCCCCCCGTCGCCAAAAATTTTTTGGTCCATTTTAGGGGTAAAAAAAATTTTCCGGACATACCACAATTTTTCCTAAATACGAAAAAAATTTTCCGGACATACCGAAAATTTTTCCGGAAAATGTTATTTTTTCCGGAAACCAAAACATTTTTCCCGAAATAACATAGATTGAATTTTTCAAAAATGCCCTTTGCGCAAAAAATGCAATTTTTAATGAAAATTTTTCACGCAAAAACAGCACTTTGTGCACCCGTAGTGCACCCGTATTCTGCACCCGTAAAGTTGTGAAGACAAAAGGCAACGGGTGCAACTGCACCCGCTGCACCCGTGGTTCTGGCATCCCTGTTAGTAGTTTATTTTGAAATATTGCTTTTGACATTGTTTCAATTGTCTGCATTGGTTAACGAGAATTGGATGCCACCCAGAAATGGCGGATATTCGTCATCGTGAGCACAGAAGTTTTTGATGACGTCACAAGCAGGGTAAACTTGTTTAAAACGTGTTCATGTGGGACTAAATTTCTTCGAAAAGTTTCTTAAAATGTTATGAGTTAATTGAGTACTAAAAGGACTTTGGAAAAGCGAGTTTCATATTGATAATGAAATGTGGTTTGCAAGATAAAAATTTCGCTTTTTACCCTACTTGTGACGTATGCAGATCCAAAATGGCGGAATGCACACTGCTTTTCATCAAAATAAGTCGATTTATTTTTAAAACCAAGCAAGATACGGAATAATTGTGAAAGAAGTTTATATATCATGTTAAATGTTCTTTCAAATAAGACGAACTTAATTTATATTGGCAATTTGGCATATCCCTTTAAATAGTAGTTCCCGATTGGCTACCTTTTGCACCAACTGTAATTAACCTTTTTATGCAACCGGCCTCGAGTCAAGGGTCAGTTATTCATACAAGTCCAGTAAGTTAGACATACAGTAGGTTGAATTGTTTCATTGTTATTTATGCTGATAATTTATACATTGAATAAATATTTATTACTTGCGTTAGCACTTGGTGCAATTTGATTGCTTGCATTGATCATTAACATTTTATTAATTTTGATTGTTATACTATAAAGTTTTGTGTCATTTTTACAAAAGTGTGTGATGATTACATTGTGGGGCCTCAAAAATTACAGACATTTCCTACTGTGCATTTTCTGAAATTTCAAAAAATTATTTCACAAAGTGTTATTCCCAAATCCCAATTGACCTTAGAAGTCCTTACGTCACGTCACTGTCGGACAATGGATATTTGACTCACATTGCATTGTGTATACTTAATGTTTTGATTAATTGAAAATTGTGACATAGGCACTTCTAAGGGTTATTAATTTACAGTAAATGTTCAATTTGACAGTCTGGTGAAATTCTTAATTCCATTTGGTAA